CCAGATACCTTTGTAACCAAGAAATCCAGCAGCTGAATGACATTCGGAAGACACAGAGACGGATGCATCAAAATACAGTGATGGCTGCAGGTTTCTTATGTGGCCAAATGGCAAAAGAAATGTACATCACTAATTAGCAGGGCTACTGTTGTACAAGCTCTGTCAAAATCTGCAGTCTTTGGGTGACAAGGTTTATGCAGTGGCTATTGTATTTCAAGCTATACTACAGGCCTCCAACATAGAACCCAGGTAGCTGTTACAGAAAGAAGGATAAAGCAAAACTGATTCCTGTTACAGGCAACACTCAATAGTGTTTACAAGTGTCCTGTAACTTATAAGCAATGTCCACATTCAAAACGTGTTATCCATTCTCTGTTGACCCTTCCTGACGTAAGAAAATTCTTAACAAAATATAACCCTGCCAGCCAGGCATGGTGGCTCACGCCTGTAATCCCAGCATTTTGGGAGGCTGAGATAGGAGGTTCACAAGGTCAGGAGGATCGAGACCATCCTGGCCAACATGGTGAAACCCCATCTTTACTAAATACAAAAAAATTAGCCAGGTGTGGTGGTGCATGCCTGCAGTTTCAGCTACTCAGGAGGCTGAGGCAGGAGAATCACTTGAACTTGGGCAGTGGAGGTTGCTGTGAGCCGAGATCCTGCCACTGCACTCCAGCTGGGCGACAGAGCAAGACTCCATCTCAAAACAAAACAAAACAAAAAACAGAAAATATAACCCTGACTAACTCATCAATGGAACCCAAACAATAAAAGTGAGCATTATCCTAGAAACCGGCTAATGTGTTCTGGGGATTCTGCTTTTATGACACCAAATATTTATGTCACATTTTAATTACAACTTGACCTACAGATGAGGAACTGTCAGAAAGATGTCAGGAAGACATCATTTTTTACTTTGCAGTTCCTAGACAACCAAAAGCAACAAACAGAGGGCCAATCTGTGTTGATTTTTCAACTACAGCTTCTAAAACTTTCACCAAGCCAGGCACAGTGGCTCATGCCTGTAATCCCAGCACTTTGGGAGGCCAAGGTGGGTGGATAATGACGTTGAGAGATTGAGACCATCCTGGCCAACATGGTGAAACCCCATCTCTACTAAAAATACAAAAATTAGCTGGGCATGATGGCACAAGGCTGTAATCCCAGCTACTCAGAAGGCTATGGCAGGAGAATCGCTTGAAGCTGGGAGGCGGAGGTTGCAGTGGCCTGAGATCATGCCACTGCACTCTAGCCTGGGTGACAGGGCAAGATTCGCCTCAAAAAAAAAAAAAATTCACCAAAGCCAACCAAGCACCGAGTCTTCTCCAGCTACTTCAACTTCCATAACCACTAGTGGAGCACAGATGCAGGCTTACAATAGGGTCTCCATGTGCTGACATTAAAAGAAAAAAATCTAAGATAACAATATGTTCCAGAAAGATGTCTGTCCTTTGAAACCGTATTATGAGAATATTTCTCTAAAGGGCTTATTCACTGCACTTTGAAGTACAGAATTAGCATGCTATTACCACAAAAGATATAAGAGTCACTATGTACAGTGCTTAGTGTGTTTAAACAAATTCTCCTTTCAGAGCTAACAGTAAGGCGCGTTAGCTAAGAAGGAAGAAGGATGAAAGAACACCCTCTGAGCTCTATAGTTCCCTGTTTGTTTTTTATTTCCTGCTACTGGATGTAACTGGTACTCAGGAATTCTGCAAACAGCTGCCAATCTAAGGAGAAGGTGTCTGCAAAGTTGCAGTTCAAATGTGAACAAGGAAAACGTATCCGTGAAATATCCAAGGCAGACTGGAGGTGTGCCTGAAGAAATGGGTTCAGTAGTTGAGACTGATGATAAAGAAAATGACTTCCAGCCGGAGAGAAGTTCATGCTTCAGAAGGGCAAAGCAACCGTAAATTGAAGAGCAGCCTACCTGCCCACACAAAACTGCGAGGCTAGCCTTGTAAATCAGTATCAGTGTTAGCGAGGGCCAGCAGCACAAACGTGCAGTCACCCAGTGCAGCAGCAGAGCAGTCCCCAGACTAAAACAGGAGCATATACAGCATTTATATCCTACAGCAACTGAGATCATGCTTCAAAAATTAACAAAAACACGCCCAACAGAAGAGAGTCAAGTCATCTCACCAAAGACACAACTGTGCAAAAGAGATAACAGGAAGCATTTCCGATTGGCATCTACCCCTTTCTGAAAGAAAGGTGATCAGGATAAACCATAACTGACAAATGCAGACACAAAGCTTTACACTAAGGGAAAACATGGTTCATATACTTAGGAGCAGATCAAACCCACTCTGTCTTGGGCAGGCATGCACAATGGCTTGAGACTCTACTCTGACCCTAGACTCTGTACCTCCCAGACTATGTACTTGAAGTGATACAGCAGCTTTGCAACAAAGTGACCAACCGCTCCAGAATCAGACTTTTGACATCACTGGTCATCTGTCCCTGGGCTACAACAGTGGCAGTAAAATCATTAATGGGACTCCCAGTGGAAGAGGGTGCACAGGTTTGGTAGCACACAGTGGAGGGTGTACTGACTCACATTTTCAATGCCATAAACATTTTTCTACATCTACAGGATCTTTGAGCCTAACTGTAAAACTTGTGTGTATATACAATATGCATATGTCCATTTATATATACACAGTAAAGTATAAAGAGACTCCAAGAGGCACTCCTGACCCTAAGCCCCCATCCCCTTTCTTTCAATATGCACATATGTGCAAGTGTATATTACACACACACACACACACACACACACATAATCCACAATCTCTCTTTCTCTCAAAGCAGAGGGCATGGTCCTTCCCTGGGTAGTTTCCTGCCTCCTCATCGCTCTTGAAGCAAAATCCCAAATCCTGACCATGTTGTGGCCCACAAGGCCCTGAAGGATCAGCCTCCACCCATTTCCTCTCCAGTCTCATCTACTCCTTCCCCAGACACACAGGCATCCTCTCCTACCTTAAGACCTTTCCTTTTTGGAAGCCTGAGTGTCTGGATGTTTCTCAAATCATACAGGTCTCTCCACAAACCCTCCACCTCCTAAGAGGCTCTCCTGAGCTTCCCATCCAAAGTCACCCCCGCCACCACCTGCCCTGCCCAACCCCTTAACCTGTGCTATTTTCTCTGTAGCCATACACTACCCAGTGCGTGTTTGTTTTCTCAAATAACAATGAGACCACCACTCAGTATGTGACACAGAACTCCAAGGCTGAATACATTGCTCATCATAGTAGAAGAGAGCTAAGCTGGCCAAACAGTGTCTCTGAGCAGGACAGATGGTAGATGGCATAGAGGGTTTGAAAAGCATGGAGCTCTGTGGTTGTGAGATGTTCACAGGCATACATGGGTTGACAGCACGTGGGTGCTCAGCTGAGGCTGTAACCGATTCGTTGATCGGCTGGCACTCAGATGTTTACTGGAAAGTGTCCATCCCTGATGGTCAGAAGTAAAGATCTGACGTTGGTCAGTTCTGTCAGTTTTAAAACCAACATTCACTAAGACAAGTTATTGTTGACCAAATGAACAGATTTTAAATGGGTTCTGATGGCTGCCTTTTTTTTTTTTTTTTTTTGAGACAGAGTTTTGCTCTGTCACCCAGGCTGGAGTGCAGTGGCACAACCTCAGCTCACTAGAACCTCTGACTCCTGGGCTCACTACAACTTCCACCTCCCAGATTCAAGCCATTCTCCTGCCTCAGCCTCCTCAGTAGCTGGGATTACAGGCATGTGCCACCATGCCCAGCTAATGTTTGTATTTTTAGTAGAGAAGAGGTTTCACCATGTTGGCCAGGCTGATCTCAAACACCTGGCGTCAAGTGATCCACCCACCTAGGCCTCCCAGAGTGCTAGGATTACAGCCGTGACCCATTGTGCCCAGCCCCTGATGGCTTATTACTAAGGCTATGAAACAATCAGGTTTCTCCTAAGTTTGAGGGAACTTTTCGACTATTCTCTGAAGTTCAACTTCATGTGATCAGGTTTGCCTGTTTTATTCATCCTACAGATTATTGAATAAGTAGTTGTTTTTTGCTGTGTTACTGATGGTGAAAGCTTTTATTTTGAGGTTTGCCACTTTATTCTTACAGCATTAATATAGTGGTAAGAGCATGGCTTTATAACCACGCCTCCCTGGCTTTGGATCTTGGCTCTGCCATTAACCAGCTTTTGGACTTCCTAAACCTCTATTTCATTATTTAAAACAAACGGGGAAGAAAGAATAATGGCATGTACCTCCCAAGGCTCCCCTGAGGATTACTGAAATAATGCCTAGTTCCTAACATGTAAGTGTTCAAAAATATTTATCATGTATATTACTACTTTGAAAGTTTCCAAAGGGCTCAAAGATATTTCAGACCATAAAGTCCGGATGATCAGACTTGGCCCGATAAAAAGGCACAGAATAAGGTCTGATATAAAAGATTCTAAGAGGCAGTTTTCACCCTAAATTCCTCACCTTCGTTCCTCCAATCCTTCCAGTCCAATTCTGCTTCCCTTCAACCTCCCTAGGAGGTTAATCACTCCTGATATTTCCAACATTAAAATCTATGCCTAGAGATACTCTAGGTGAGTTAAGTCATTTTCTCCCCCCCCCCCCCCAAAAAAAAACACTATTTGGCAAGTGCATTATGCTAATGTATTTTTATTAACCGTGTATAATTAACTGTGACCTACCAGATAATGGAGACCACAAACACCAAGACACGGGACAGATACAACTTGAAGGGGAGGCTCGGATGCTGATTTGGCCCTGCTGGAACGGGGGCTCTGTGGGCCTGAGGTTCAAGGCAAAGTTCTGGCTTAACTCTGAACTTTGCTCTGCTGTTTTGCTGAAGTCGGTCCTGGCAAAATGATGGTTTTCCAGGTCTGCTTGGGATTTAACTCACTCGCTCTCTCAAACTCTGTCTCTCTATATGTATATACAGAAACACAGGGACATACACATTCTCAATCCAGCCTCTCCGTCCCTAACTCTTGCCAATTAGAATCTCTAGTACCCTTAACTAGGTTTATCGGCACAAAGAAGCCTGAGGCTAAGTATTTATTTATTTGCAACTGTCTGAAAGCTGCCAAGAGCTGGGTGTGTTTTCTCACACTGATAGTGAACTGTCCTCCTTCTCCAGGACATCACTTCACATTCCCTGACTTTAGTTATATTTTCACCCCTGGATCTCATTAATGCAGATACATTAAACCTACTCCACATAAAACAGAATAGAGATCATAGCACGACCTAAGGGCAGATGTTCCTGGGCTTGAATCCTTTCTGCCAACGTATTTATCTGTGTTACTTTGGGAAAGCTGCCTAGGCCTGCTGAGCTGGTTTCTTAATTTATGCCCGTCTTGTGGGACTTTTTGGAGAATTTCAACCACAGAAACCTATTTCAACATAGGCATTCATGGGGTAGCTGCTTAAAATACACAGGGGTACCCAGTTCTTCAACCCGTGAGCTGCAAGAGTTGGATACGAATCCGTTAGTGATGTTGGGGACGAGTTTCTGAGAAAACATGGAAGCAAGGGCAGCATGGGCTCTCTTGGAGGACAGGGGATAAGCAGGAACAACAGAAACTCACTTGGCCTGGGATAGAACTGGTTTTAAATCCCAGAGCTCAGCCAACGATGAAAACCTTACTTGGCCTTGACTCAAGTAAAGAAAGTCAGTGTCAGCCACGTATCTCAACCCTGTGTGCACATTCAGCATTAGGAAGGAGAAATTGTGATGTACTCTTAGACGGTGCGCACAAGGACAAGGGTTCTGAGTCAACTCTAAGGCTTCTCTGTTCACTGGAGTGATTTCTTTTCCTCCTGTTCTTAAGAAGGCACCACCTGGTGGTCACTACCAGAAATGACAGAGCAGAATTACAAAGCCTCTCAACTCCCAGCCCGCAATTATTTTTCATTCATTCAGTGAATATTTACTGAGTCCTCAGTATGTGCTAGACACAGTGGTACGTGCTACATGCGCAAAGCAGGATCTAGTTGAGTGGCAAATCTCAATGAGCTCATTGTTGAGAACACCTCTGAGTGCTGGACGTATATATGGCTTTTTCCCCAGAACAAGAGCAAGGATAAAGTTCACATTCCAACTTGGGCCACGCCCTCTGCCCAGGTCTCATTCCATTTTTCAAATGAAACGTTCCGTTCAATTTTCCCCTGAGGAAGGCTTGAATTAGGAAGAGGATGTCATTCAGTTTCTGTTTTGGAAGTTTGGGCTGTTTTCTCATGACTCAGACTGCCTCTGAATGTTTTTCCTTTTATTCTAATGCTTTCCTTTCCTCCCCTTCTTTCTAAGCAGCAGGTAAGTCAGGGACAGTGGGTTAAGAGAAACGTTCCCGTTCCCTTCTCTCATTTTCACTCCTTGACATTTTGAGAAAACATTTTCAGAACTCTTGTTTCTAAATTTTCCTGTGGAATGTTCTAGTGAATATCTAGTTTTAATCCCTTGAGCACTGATTCAATTTAAGGAAAGAGTCAAATTTTAAATGGCGTCCCCACTGATGACTCAGATAGGTGACTGAACTGGGATCGTGCCATCATCAGCCCAAAAGGGAGTCACAGCTATTAAAAAAAGGAAATTGACTTTCTTGGGTAGATGGAAGGCAATTTAGAAAAAAGAGCTCCACCAAATATACTTACAGCCCCAAGAGGCCCTAGGTGAAATATGTATACATCTACCAAGACCATTGCTTATAAAAGTTAGATTCATTTTGGATATATAACTTTTCTCAATAGTTTAGGATCAGGGGCTATGGAAATACATGGGAATGGCAAGTTGGCAATAAGAAGGGGCTAGAGGAGCTATGTCCTCTGATGTTAGGACTGGTGTGAAACGGCAGGACATGCCTTCTGTCTGGGAGGGGAGGCTGGAAGTAAAGATGAACACAGATGAAGGGAAGAGAGGAAGAGGAGTCTGAGCTGGGGCATGATGAAAGAGTGAGTTTAGATGAAGGGAGTGAAAAAGCACTCACTGTATAAACATAGGCATCGCTGTGTTTACCTTCATGGCATATTTGAGTGTGTTCAGCAAAGGTTGTTACAGGAGGGAGCTCAGGTACAAAACCAGAAAACAGGGGAAGTATGGTCCGGGCATGAAAGACCTCAATATTATTCCAGAACATCTGGACTTTTCTCCCACAGATAATAGGAAGCATGAAAGAATCCTGAGCTAAAGAGTGAAAGAGCAAAGCAGGGGCTCCATGGTGGTCCGCAGCAGGGTACGTGCAGCTTGGGCTGGTGGCTAGAAGAGCCTGTGGATTCCACTGGACCTGAGTACAACTGGCTCAGCCACCTCCTGGATTAGCAAGTGACCTTAAGAAAGCCTGTTTCCTCCTCTGCAAAATGGGAATAATAATTGTAATAGCAACTGATCCAAAGGTAAGAGTTATCTCAATTGCTCAGTCAGTTACCGATCAAACTCCTTGTTCTACTCTATTCTCCTTTCTCACTAGGGTACTTTACCAATCCTTTTAAAAAAAAAAAAAAAAAAAAAAAAAAAACTTTGTAAAAGAAAAACAAATTAGTTCACCCATTGTGGAAAGCAGTATGGCAATTCCTGAAAGAACTAAAAGCAGAATTACCATATGACCCAGCAATCCCACTGCTGGGTATATACCCAGAGGAATAGAAATCATTCTACCATAAAGATACATACACATGAATGTTCACTGCAGCACTATTCACAATAGCAAAGACATGGAATCAACCTAAATGCCCATCAACGGCAAACTGGATAAAGAAAATGTGGTACGTATACGTCATGGAATACTATGCAGCCATAAAAAAGAATGAGATCATGTCTTTTGCCGGAACATGGATGGAGGTGGAGGCTATTATCCTTAGCAAACTAACACAGGAACAGAAAACCAAATACCGCATGTTCTATCTTACAAGTGAGAGCTAAATGATAAAAGCTTATGAACACAAAGAAACAATAGACACTACGGTCTACTTGAGGGTTGGGGGTGGCAGGAGGAGAGGAGCAGAAAAAATAACTACTGGGTACTAGGCTTAATACCTGGCTGATGAAATAATCTGTACAAAAAATCCCTGTGACATGAGTTTACCTATGTAACATACTGTCACATGTACCCCTGAACCTCAAATAAAACTTAAAAAAAGGCCAGGCATGGTGGCTCATGCCTATAATCCCAGCACTATGGGAGGCCAAGGAGGGTAGATCACTTGAGGTCAGGAATTCGAGACCAGCCTGGCCAACACAGTGAAACCCTGTCTCTACTAAAAATACAAAAATTATCCTAGCACCTTGGGAGGCCAAGGCAGGTGGATCACGAGGTCAAGAGATCGAGATCATCCTGGCCAACATGGTGAAACCCCATCTCTACTAAAAAATAAAAAAAATTAAAAAATTATCTGGGCATGGTGATGCATGCCTGTAGTCCCAGCTACTCGGGAGGCTGAGGCAGAAGAATTGCTTGAACCTGGGAGGCGGAGGTTGCAGTGAGCTGAGATTGCGCCACTGCACTCCAGCCTGGCACCTGATGACAAAGTGAGACTATGTCTCAAAAAAAAATTAGCCAGGCATGGTGGCCAGTGCCTGTAATCCCAGCTACTCAGGAGGCTGAGGCAGGAGAATTGTTTGAACCCAGGAGGAGGAGGCTGAAGTCAGCCAAGATCGCACCATTGCACTCTAGCCTGGGTGACAAGAATGAAACACCATCTCAAAAAAAAAAAAAAAAGGGGAAAAAGAAAATAATACTTTGGAAGGCCGAGGCGGGTGGATCACGAGGTCAAGAGATCGAGACCATCCTGGTCCACATGGTGAAACCCCGTCTCTACTAAAAATACAAAAAATCAGCTGAGCATGGTAGCGCATGCCTGTAATCCCAGCTACTCCAGAGGCTGAGGCAGGAGAATTGCCTGAACCCAGGAGGCGGAGGTTGTGGTGAGCCAAGATCGTGCCATTGCACTCCAGCCTGGGTAACAAGAGCGAAACTCCATCTCAAAAAAAAAAAAAAAAGAAAAGAAAATAATACTGTAGTGGCATCATCAAGCTCTTGTGAGAATCCAGCGGGTAGCATGAAGTAAGCACTCAAACGATGGCTTACGTGTTCCAGTGCTTTGATGGTCACAGATTGGTGAGAAGGGCAAGACTAGTAGCTGAAACCATTTAGGAGGCTAGTATGGGAATTCAGAAATCAAACGGCAAAGTGCTCAGCCAGGCAGAGGTTTCCTAACCACAGTGGCTGTGGAAAACACGTTGCTGCCACTTCCATTTCAAAGGAAGGTCAAAGACGTATGGCCATTAGAAAAGCAAAGTGGAGAGAAGGATCCGGGTTGAGACCTAGAGCCTGGGCTCTGGGAGAAAGCGGCCCCGTCAGCAGAGAACAGGAAGAATTAGTTCCGCGCCAGGCAAGCTCGGTCCCAGCTGCCAAGACACGAGGAGGAGGAAATTGGAAGCCAACTGGGCTTGCTCCTTCACTTCCTGGGAGAAGTGCTCTTCTCAAATATCCGCTTATCTGCTGACCAGCTCATTATGCACAGTCGCTCTCTACTCGGACCCCATTTCTCCTTCAGAGCACATGTCACCACCTGCCGAAGTCTATGTTTGTTTACTGATGTGTTTTATCATCTGGCTGGGTCCCAATAAAACGTAGGTTCCAAGAGGGATGGTGCTTGTGTGATTTCACATCTTTTGTACCAAAAGCAGTGCCTGGCACATAGTAGATGCTTAATAAACATTAGTTATTGTTATTAAAGTGCTTTAAAAAGTGCCTGGCGCACTAAACATATTCAGTAAGTATTTGTGCTTTTTGGTGGATATCTTAGAAAACTTGGAAAAAGAGAAAGACAGCCAGGAAGTGCTTGAACCTTGGAGAATAGTCACACTTAGTCATCAGGAAGAAGAAGAATTCACAGAGCAGTTACAGAGATTAGAAAACAGCGGCCTTCTTTCGGTCAGAGAAGAGAGGCAAAGCATGCCCACTGTGAAGGTCACACCTCAGACCATGGAGCCATAGGCTTTTCCAAGTACTAATGCAGAACAGGAAAAAGAGGCAGAACCAGTTCATCTTGGGACAGGTGAACAGTCAGGAGAAAAAAAAAAGAATGGGTATTTTCTGACAACAGGTAAGAAAGGCCCTTGGTCTGAGTCAATTTCTAACATATAAGAAACTGACATGCAATGGCCACTTTGGCCCAGTCCTTTCCTTTCCTCTCCTCCAGTCAGATCATTTCGAAATCCAGATTCTGGCAGAGTTCACAAGAGCTCACTTAGCTGGGAGACCAAACATCAAGGTAATTAGCAAATTCATAACGGACTACTCCAGATATACTGGGATTGCAAGATCAGCTCGTTCAGCAAATATCTACTGTGCACTGAGAAAATTCTTGTCAAAGTCATTCATATAACTTCATGGTGACACCGGTCTCTGTAGCCAGTAGAATAGAAGTGTTGCCACTTCTCAACCTCTTCCCCACAGGTCAAGGCTCAGAGGCTGTGAATGCCCAAGCACTTGCATCTCAGGTAGCATCAGGTAACGTGGCATTCCTGAACGCTCTCACAAGGACTGAGCTAAAATTCCCAGGGCTGTCTTTCAATTCAAATCAAGATGCTGCTAAATCAGATCATGAACAAGGGCGAGCTGTGGTGAAGTACCCTGGAGTCCATCTTCAGCCATTAAGTGAGATCAAAATGTCAGCCATCTATAAACCCCTAATCAAAACAACAGAATGACCACTGACTCCATCTTTATCGCCTGCCTTGATTTCAGAGTATGGGCAAATAAGCCCAGAGAGAATATAAAAATCCTTCTCCCTATAACCTTCCATAAGCCACATTCATGACAAGATATCCTTAAAACATGTCTTAGTAAACCTGAGAGTAAGACATGTTTCTCTAATATCTTGCCAGCATGGAAAATAAAGGGTCCCCATTAATTCCATCGAGATCTACGTCACTCAGAAGGAAGTGCTAGTGGTGTGCCTATCTGCCTTTTCACAAATACTAAAAACTCCTGAACTGCTACTTTCTGATTATTCTTGAATTTAAATCCATGGAAAAAAAAAAACTGCTAATTCCCTCAGAGAAGCATGATCATTACTCTATCTTAGAATTATCAGGTGAGACTAATGTGTAAAAATATATTAGGAATGTTAGATGGACAATAATGTTGACCTTTGTAGTAGTTCCCTTTAGGAAGGATACACTTAACACCCACTGTTCTTACTGTTCAGACACGTAAAATGAGGTAGTAGCCAATAAAACAGACAGGTTTTTGGCCTGCCTCTGTCCTGACATGGGATTAGGCCAATTTCTTAACTTCTCCACTTAAAATGAGTTACAGAGTCTCTATAAGAATGGTATGAGCTAATGTAAAGGACTTCACATGCCGCCTGGCTCACAGTTGCTGATTTGGGGGGTTGCTTTTTGTTTTATTGGGGTTTTGTTTACCTTTTCAATATTGAAATTCATTTAGAGGGCAGCCTCCCGTTTCAGCAAGACAGTGAGGAGATACACATTCACACTCACCTCCTACAAGCACCTGGAAATATCCTATATAATTTATTTTTAAATTCATAGCTGAACCTGCAATAAGAAAGAAGAAATTACCAGGTGCCAGAGCCAAAGCAACAACTAAAAGCAGAAACAAGCATAAATTCACTCCACTTAGGGAGTGACAGGATCATGGTGAGGGGGAAGGAGAGAAACAAGTATTGGTCCAGGGGAGGAAGGCATTTAGATTTCAACTAGCACAGAGTTTGGGAAACAGGCAAAGTCTGTGGGGTCTGCCCCAGGTGGAAGTCTGCTGCACTGAGTGAGGCACCTCAAAGAGCTGAAGCCACAGAGATGAGACTCATATGTTTCTGTCCCTCTCCTGGGAAGGAGAACAAAAGCCTTCCCTTGCAAAGTTTAAACTCCAGATCTCTGCCCCAGGAACAAAATGTCCCAGTACAAATATAGGCTTCCTATATGGTCCAGAAATGCCCAATCTGAGAAATTCACATAAAAATTTGTCCTGGACTAATGAATGAGCAGGGGAAAAGCCAGAGCAAATTTCCCACAATCCATGCCGCAGACAATTCCTACCAAGAAATGAGACCCGCTGAGTTCACAAGTTACAAAAGCACATCAAAGGGGAGGATTCTAGCCCCAGTGACTAGAAGTAGAAAACTTTAAAAGAATAGAATTGAGTGTGTTTAAAATGAGAGAAAAACTAATCAGATGCCAAAATTACATTTGATGAAATTCAACATTCAATCACGATTTTTTTAAAAAAACAAACAAGAAAACACATCTTACAAATCTAAGAAAGACATTTTCTTGTGTGACACATATACACCATGGAATACTACGCAGTCATAAAAAGGAATGAGATCATGTCGTTTGCTTGGACATGAACGGAGCTGGAAACCGTCATCCTCAGCTAACACAGGAACAGAAAACCAAACATCACATGTTCTCACTCATAAGTGGGAGCTGAGCAATAAGAACACATGGACACATGGGAGGGAACAACATACACTAGAATCGGTGGGGTGGGAAGAGCATCAGGAAGCACAGTTAATGGATGCTGGGCATCATTCCTAGGTGATAGGATGATCTGTGCAGTAAACCACTATGGCACACGTTTACCTACGTAACAAACCTGCACATCCTGCACCTGTACCCTGGAACTTAAAACAAAAGTTGAAGGGAAAAAAAGGTATTTTCTTAATCCAATAAAAGGTACACTTCAACCAACCCAGAGCAGCATTATTCTTGGTGGCACAAGCTCTCCTTTTAAAGCCAGGGATGAGACTAGAAAGGTTACTACTCTCACTGCCTCTGCCCAACACTGTTTTGTGAAGGAGGGAAAACTTTTTGTAACGAGCCTGAAAGCAGACATTTAGGCTTTGCAAACTAGGCAGTCTCTGTTGCAACTATTCAACTCTGATGTTATAATACAATGCTATCACAGGCAATATGGATGTTGCTTTGTTTCAATAAAACTTTATTAACAAAAACAGGTGATATCATGAAAGTCCAAGTCAGTACATCAAGACAAGAAAAATAAGTGAAAGTCACATGACATGAAGAAGAAAAGACCTGTCATCATTATTAAAAGATATCTCTGTCTGCATAATGTATGAGTATCTAAACCATGAAAATTAATGAGTTCAGCAAAATATACAAAAATAACATTCTATACACCAACAACAATAGGAAAAGATGTAATAAAAAGATGCCATTGACAGCAACAAAAATGTGGGATAAAAAAATTTAAATTAGCTGGATGTGGTGGTGAGCACCTCTGGTCATAGCTACTCAGAGGGAAGCTGAGGCACGAGTGTCACTTGAGCCCAGGCGCTGGGAGGCTGCAGTGAGCTATGATTGTACCACTGCACTTCAGCCTGGGAGACCTTATCTCAAAAAAAAAAAATGAAAGAAATATGAGATACTTATGAAGACATTTAACAAGGATATGTAAGAAAAGTAAGGCAAAAATTATGAAATTCTACTGAAAGACCTAAAAAAAGAACTAAATAAACATAGCTATACCATAGTTGTAGATGAGAAGACCCAGGATGATAAGAGAGCAAATTCTTATGATTTATCTGTAAATCATCTGAGTAATTCCAACAAAAGCTCAATAGGAGTTCCACATTCCTAAAATATACTCGAAAGTATAATGAGCTTAGAATAGCCAAAACAATTCCAAAGAAGAAAAATGAGGTGGAACAAACTACCCAAACCTGTAAGACCAAGGTAATTAAAATAGGGTAGAGGCAGAGTAAACAAACACACCATTAACAAGGAACAGAAGCCAGACACAGGCACATGTATTTGGGAATGTGTGTATGACAGTGGGAAAAGATTGGCTCCAGGCAACTGAGACAACTGGACATGCATACGGAAAAACATAAAAGTGGACGCCCATGTTACATACACACAGAAATCAATTCTAAATGTCTGTGAAACACTACCTTTGAAAACTTTAAAAGAATGTAAAGGAAATTATTTTTTTTACGTTTTACTGAGTTTTAGGTTTCGGGGTACATAGGGGGAACATGCAGGATTGTTGCATAGGTACACACATGGCAATGTGGTTTGCTGCCTTCCTCCCCATCCCCTATATCTGGCATTTCTCCCCATGTTATCCCTTCCCAACTCCCCACCCCCTGTTGTCCCTCCCCTAGGTTCCCCCCACAGACCTCAGTGTGTGAGAACACATAGACACAGGGAGGGGATCATCACACGTTGGGGAAATTATTTTTATGACGTTGAGATAGGGCAGTGTTTCTTTTAAAAAGTACACAAAAATGTACAAACCACAAAGGAGAAACGGATAAATTTGACTACATTAACATTTAGCAGTTCTCTTTAATAAGATTCATCATAAAAAGTGAAAACATAAGCCGAGACTAGTAAAGCTATTTGGGGCCCATTAAACTGACAAAGAATTAATACTAGACTATAAATGATTCTTATAAATCATAAATAAAAGGGCCAATGGCAATAGAAGAGCTAGCAAAGAATATAAATGGGCAATTCACAAAAGAGGAAACTCAGATGGCTGCTGAGTACAGAAGAGACACTCAATCACACTAGAACGCAGAGAAATGCAATTTCAAACAATGAGATACAATTCTGTGCCAATCAGATTAACAAAAATTACAAATCTGTTAACTAAGAGGATAAGGGGAAACAGTAACTAGCGATGGAAGCATAATTACAACTGCTTTGGAGGGCAATTTGGAATATTCACCCTGTTAAAAATGTGTATGTTCTAGAGCCTAGCCATTTTTCCTTTGAGTACTGGCTCTAGACAACCTCTAGTACATATTTCTAAACAGGCACACAGATAGTTACTGCATCACTGTTTGTATTAACAAAAAAAGTGAAAGCATCTGAACTTTCTCTCAGGTGAACAGATGAAGGCTGTATTTACATATACTGGAATCCCATGGAACAGTTCTACAGTTTGGTTTGCCTGTCCTCTCCCAATCTCACGTTGAAATTGGATCCCCAGTGTTGAGGTTGGAACTGATGGGAGGTGTTTCGATCATGGTGGTGGATTCCACATGAACGGCTTGGGACTGCCCTTGCAATAATGAGTAACTCTTCACTCCATTAGTTCCCTCGAGAGCTGGTTGTTAAAAGGAGCCTGGCACCTCCTTTTCTCTTTCTCTCCTCCTCTCTTGAAATGTGATCTGCACACACTGGTTTCCCCTCACTTTCTGCCATGCGTGGAAGCAGCTGGGAGCCCTCACCAGAAGCGGATGCTGGCGACATGCTTCCCGTACAGCCTGAAGAACCAGGAACCAAATGAATTTCTTTGCTTTATAAATTACCCAGCCTCAGGTAGTCCTTTACAGCAACACAGCTGGACTGAGACAGCAGTTAAAACAAATCAACATGGATAAACCTCAAAGACAATGTCAGAAGGATACATACAATATAATTCCTATGAATTTTTAAACATTCCCTCAAAAGGCACAAACACACCTGGGAATGAAGCATGACGATATTGGCAGAAGGATGAATATTGCTGGAAAAAGGGGAGAAGGGAGACAGGTATGGGGGAAGCGAGGGGTGTTTAGGAATATCTAAAACAGTTTCTTTCAAAAACAAGAAAGAGCAAGATGAAAGAACACAAGCAAACACACCCAGCACATTAGCATCTGTTTCACATCCATGCTGGGAACGTGTCTGTCTATCATTTAATGTTCTGTAGTATTCTGTAGGCTTGGACTATTTCACCATTTCAAACGTTATTTTAAAAGGAAATCATGTTTGGAACAAATGTACAAGTCTCATGACATTATTAAAAGGCCTCTAAAACCACATGTTGCCCTGAACAAAACCAGTGCTCCCTGCCCTCATCACCCACCTCAGTTGCTGCACCTATGCCAGTGACTCTTCACTCTTTCCAAAAATCAAAGCCTCATACAAAGAATGAGTATTTGCAAGACTCAAAAATATTCACAAGAATGTGCCACATGCTTTAAAGGTAATTTTAAAAGGATTCCGGAAATGTTTGGGGCAATAGCAACATCAATGGAAGCATCAAAGAATTACATCTATCCCAAGGTCACTGCTTTGAAGAGAGAAAAATCCATTTACACTGTAAGTCTGATTAAAAAAAAAAAAAATCATCAGCAGCAACTGAAGTCATTCCTCTCTTAGCTGTCAACGTTATCCAATATCTGAGCCAAGGCACTGACTGCACTGAGAATGCCCTAGGAGTGGACGTTGGGGCCAGCATTATAAATTACACCACATCCTTACAAAGAGCATGTCATTCAACACAAGGCTCACATAGCGGTTGTAAATTATCGCAGATCCTTGTGTCATCCAAGGGGGATTTACCTAGGTATTTTTCTCAGAAAATAGGAAACTTGTTAATCAAACACTGAGCCCTATGGGTCGGCAGAAAGGAAACACTATTTTCACAGTGAGCTCAGACCCAGCAGCTACAGTAAGGACAGAGCACACTCAAGAGAACGGCAGAAGAATTAAAGAACACGACCAGCATGGAGCGAGGGATTCACTTTCGACAACAGCCTCCTGCATTATTTCTGAATCTATAATCAGGAGAAATGCTTGAAAGGCCCCAGCCCACTTTGCAGACAACAATTTCATTGTCGATTGTCAGTTCCTCACACAAAGCCTTCATTATGTTTACAACATACATTGCAATATACTCACAAAGCATGGACATATTTGCTCATAAATATTTACGTATTTCACAAATATTGACTGCCTACTGTGGCCCAAGAGCTGGATCTGTACACAAACAGTAAAGAGAAATGGCTCCATCCTTGCCCTCACTGAATTTGTGATAGATTAACTACATTGTTAACAAACTAAATGGCCAGTTTCTTCTAACAAGACTAATTCTCCCTTCATTTATCAATATTTGAATCTGCCTAATGAAGGACTCCTATGCACCTTTTCAATTTGCAAGATTACAGACTGTCCCTATAAGCTACCATATGTTGAGATTCCTGTGTTCATGGTTCCTGGGTGTAAGAACTAATCAAATGGAATCATTAATGTCTCATTCACCTTACTGAATAATATAACTATGCTTTATTTTTATTTTATTATTTTTTTGAGATGGAGTCTTGCTCTGTCACCCAGGCTGGAGTGCAGTGGCATGATCTTGGCTCACTGCAGCCCCTACCACCCAGGTTAAAGAGATTCTCCTGCCTCACCTTCTGCGTAGTTGGCATTACAGGCACGCACCACCACGCCCGGCTATTTTTTTTTTTTAGCAGAGATGGGCTCTCGCAATGTTAATCAGGCTGGTCTCAAACTCCCGAACTCAGATGATCCACCCACCTCAGCCTCCCAAAATTCTGAGATTACAAGCATAAGTCACTGAGCTTGGCCCTATGCTCTATTTCATAGGAGCCACTGGATGATTAACTTTGCTTACGTGACAAGAGAAATACCTCATAAACAATTGCTAAAATATATTGTTTGCTTACACTATGTCATGCACCATCAAGTACTTTCTACTTATTTACTTGCGTACTCCTTACAGCCACTGAGCAATGTTGGCATTAGTGTTTCACCCAGTTTACAGATGAGGGAAAATGAGGAACAGAGAGGTTCACAACCAGCCCAGAGTCACACAGTAGTAACTGGTTGAGGCACAATTCAAATTCTGTCCTGAGCTCTCCATCATTACACAAAATTGCCTTAGAGACAGGCAACAAAGGTAGAGGTAAAACTTCTCCCATGAAAGGAAGGTGCTACTTTTAGGAGTCTCACCGGGAATCATCACAGATATGTCAGGCGTGGCTAATAGCGTCTGTTTTTCAGAACTGTTTATAACAGCAAGAAAGGAAGCAGGGGAAAATGCTGCAAGAGTCTAAAAATCCAACAGCACGACATTCTTTAAAGTTCAAAGAACCAGGTATAAAAGTTTTACAAATTATCAACACATCAAGATCTTCCCTCCTTTAAAAGAAAATCTCATCTCTGTGTATAGAAAACTAACTACAAAGAATATACAATAAAACGTTCATTATACTTACCTCTTAGTGGTCATATCACAGGTGATTTTACTGACTTTTGCTTGTCTAAATTTTTTAAAAATGTTCTTGACAAAGCAGAAACCCATCTAATAAGCAATTAAACAAGTGTCAATCAAATCATTTATATCCAAAATAATATCAAAGACTATTTCTAAAATGCCTACTGATCTATAATTGTTATTGGTTTTCAGGTCTTTTTGGTTGTGTTCCCCAACCACCCAAAAGTTTGAACATGGATTTCCAAACATAAAGATTTAGTTATTTCAAAATTACATTTATTCCCTAACTTCACATACACTTAAAATTTTCATAAAAAACAAAAATTAATGAAGTAAATAAAAATTCTAACATCTTATTTTCAGGTCCTAATGGATTATCATCCACAAACCCTGAGAAACAATAGAGCATAAATACACTATTACCAGAGTACTGAAAATAAATTACAGTCATCCCTCAGTATCCCAGGGAGATTGCTTCTAGTACCCCCAACGGAGAATACCAAAATCTACAGATGCTACAGTCCCTTATATTGATATGAAATGGTGTTGTATTTTCATATAACCTATGCCACCCTCCTGTATACTTTAAATCATCTCTAGATCAGTTATAATGCCTAATACAATGTAAATGTTATGTAAATACTTGTTATACTATATTGGGTTTTATTTACTTTTTTTAATGTTTTCAAGCTACAGGTTTTTTGACAAATATGAATTCCTTCCAATCTCCTGGGTTTTCCTTGGATCTCTGGAATTGCCTTCAAAGCTGAATTCCACTCATAGAACCTGATACAAGGGAATTCCATGAGCAAAATGGATGCAGCAAAGCAAGGCAGGTAAGGAGAGAAAGTTCACCCCTCCTCAGGAAACTCATCAGAGGTTTTCAAATGATGCATGCCATCATGGGGCCAGAATTTCACCTTTGAAAGATCCATTGGGCCCAAGTATATGGGATTGAAAGCAGGACTAGAACTCTTTGCAACAAAGATAGATGATTCTCTGACACAAGAAAAAAAAAATGAAAATTAAAAAAAAATTAAATGGAAAGAAGAGAAATGAGAGAGCTTCTACTGACCACCCTGAGATTCTCAGGAAAAAACTCATAATCAAAGTCATCTGCTGAACTGGAAGGAGACTTGAAGAAAAAAGATCTGTCAAAGGGCAAAATGACAACACATTTACGTTAAAGAGCTCAAGTAGCTTTGTTTGCAATTCTAGAATGGGGCAATACTTCGTTCCACTGAAAATTTTGCACCACCTAATACTGTAAGTGCACCAATGAGCGGGCAGAGATGGTTGGCTTTGTAAGCAGAAGAGGCTAGAGAAAGCAAAAACACTGGTCACTGCAAAGTTACTTTCTTTGTAAACCAGGAACAGGGAAACAAAAGGAAAAAAAAAACACCTAGTTAACATCGTTCCTTCAGGTTACTTTTTGTTGTAAGGATCAAAGCAAAGAGAATTCATTATTAGGCTGATTGAAGATTGAAACTGCCCTGTTTGGGAAATTAGGTTGTTATCTCATATCCCTGATTTATTAGAAGGTGACATGGAACGTTAGCATGAGTGACTTCATTCTGATTTTCAATCTCGCTTGTTGGGGTCAAGTGCAGAAGCTTAGTCCAAAATTATGGGCTCCTGTAATTTTTATTTAACAGTTCCAACAACTACCCAGAAGTGTGCCACAGGAATCAGTATGGGGTGGGGTGGAGGGCAGTGTATGCATATACCTATGCATACACTCAAACACACCTTTTGATTAAAATAATTCACTGTAAATGACTCAAGGAGTCTACTTTCAATGTATGCTTTGAGTTTTTTTTCCCCACATTAAATTCATTTTAGCATAAATGGTTCCCATCTTTCTATATAAGTCTATTTCAAGACAGTTTGCAGAAGCTGGAAAAGTGGGGTGCAATGTAAAATGGAAAGTTAATTTGTCTGAACCTTTCTCAAGGCGATCATATGACAGAGAAAGAGGCAAGACTCGATATGGAAATATTAATATCTTATAAGGCCCTGAAACACTTGGTAATTAATTTTTCAGCAGGAAGAAGTTTTTATTTCAGTGGTAAGAATAGCTACCAACACCATGGCATAGAAGAGACAGAAAATAAAAATCAAAGGACCTAAGAAGACAGTAAAAGAGAGGAGGCATGGTCATACACTGATTCTTATACTCAGGGATCTCATTCAACAGGAAGATGGCAGGACTTGACAATTTCAGGCAGGCTGCTGCCACTGTGATTGGTTCTTCTAGGCCAAAAAAAAAGAGGGTAAGCCTGCTTTACAATACCAAGCCAGGATTTAGATCTCTCCAGCAAAGGAACCAAATGGACTATGAAATTCTTCAAAGGCAGAAACAGCGTCAATTCACTCAACAAATATTTCTTTAACACCTATGTTCCAGACACTAAGTTAAAGGCTGGGGACAGAGAAATGACTGCCTTCCAGAATTAGTTACCTATTGCTGTGAAGCAAGCTACTCCACAACTCAGTGGCTCAAAATAACAACTATTTATTATCCTATGGTTTTTCTGAGGATCTGAGAAGATCTAGGTCCTCCTAGCTCAGGGGCTCTGAGTTGGGGGTCCTCAAGATCACCTTCAGGTTCAGTTGTGGCTAAGAGGACTCACAGGACTCACATAAAATTACTCATAGCTATGATTTATTATAGCAAAAGAATGTAAAGCAAAATCAGCACCTTTTCCCTTTGCCAGACGGGGCATCAGGTGCAAGTTTCCAAGAGTTTCTCACTGTGGAATCACACAGAATGGGCTTAATTCCTCCAGTATCATATTGTGACAAGTGGAAAATGCTGTCTACAAGGGAAGTTTATTACGAACTCTCAGTGCTCAATGTTTGTCTCTCTTGATTTTTTTTTTTTTTTTTTTTTTTTTTTAGAGTTGGGAGGGTCTTACTCTGTCACCCAAGTGGGAGTACAATGCCACAGTTAACAGCACACTGGAGCCTTGACTTCCTGGGCTCAAGCAATCTTCCCACCTCAGTTTCCTGAGTATCTGGGACTACAGTGCACACTACCATGCCGGGCTAATTTTCTGTTTTCAGAGATGGCATCTTGCTCTGTTGCCCAGGTTGACCTCGAACTCCTGGCCTCAAGCTATCCTCCTGCTTCAGCCTCCTGAGTCACTGGGATTACAGGCATAAGCCACCAATCCTGGCCCAAGGTTTTTACTGGGGGTTGCTCATTGTATATCCTCTGCCCAGCACATTAAAAAATCTCATATGGAAAGCAGGTGCTCAGCATAAATAATATTGTTTACACAGTTTAGGCACAGGGAGCCACACTTCTCCGTTAAAGAATGTTGTCTAGCCTTCCCTAAATCCAAATTCCTGGGTGACAATTTCACAAGCAGGCCTTTTTAAGTACAGCAGTCTAAGGCATTCTGCAACAGTTTTTTCTACACAGTGTCTCAAAAGGTTACAGTCAAACTGTCAATCTGGTCTGCATCATCTGAAGCCCTGACTGGAACTGGAGGATCCCCTTACAAGAAAGCTCCCTCACATGGCTGTTGGCCGGAAGTTCTTCACCATGTGGGCCTCCACCAGACTGCCTGAATGTTCTCAACTTATGGAAGCTGGCTTTCCCTGCCGTGAGGGATCAAGGACAGCAAGGGATTGAGAGCATGCCCAAAGTGGAAGCCGCAGTCTTTAATAAACTAATCTTGAGAGCGACATACCATCACTTTTGCCCTTTGCAAATGGTGACACAGGCCAACCCTAGTACAATGTGGGATGGGGAGGGGAGTAATAACTCTGAGTCCAGGAGTCAGAGATCAGAAGGAGCCATCTCAAAGGCTGCCTAACAAAGATGGGAGTTCCCAAGAACTCCCATCTCTCCTACTGTCCCCAAAAGTCTCATCCCAACAAAGCATCAGTTCCAAGTCCAGACCCTCACCATTTAAATTTGGGTATAGTCTCTGACATACAGCTCCCGAATGTGTTTCTTCTTGATCTAGAGGCATGTACAAACAAGGAAGCAAGTTATCTGGCCCCACACACCCAATATACAATGGCAGGACAAGGAGAGGATAACTGCCAGAGACACCCCCACTCACAATGGGGAAAGTGGGAACTATGCAAGGATCGTAGTTCTGAAATCCAGGCAAGCAAATGATGAAAGCTCCTCGATTTGATCTCTAACTGAGGTCTAGGAACAGTTATCTAAGGTTTTAGTCCCACCCTCTGGAATCTTGAGTCAGCCCTCTCAGGTATTCTTTCATTTTCATGAAAGGTAACACGTGCTTATGGAATACTTTTCTCAGTCTGCTGTTTATTTGTTGATACTTGGTGGTCCAAAGGCCTCTGCATTTTGTACTCTTGATGTGTCTTTTCTTTCAAGCTAACAGTGTTTCTTCAAGCATAACTCCCTTTCAACTCTACGGGTCTTCTGGGTATCCCTTTAGCCTTAATTCTGCTACACAAAAGCCACACCCACAAACCTCTTTGCAACAGGATCTTCTTGAGCTTCGACTGAGGTACAATGTCTGTGAGCTTCCAGGGAGCCCTACTGGTTGACAGAGACCATCTGCAAGGCAAACCCTTAGTGCAGGGGTGTCCGATCTTTTGAATACCCTGAGATAAATAGGAAGAATCATCTTGGGCTGCACATAAAATACACTAACAATAGCTGATGAGCTAAAAAATAAAAATAAAACTAAAAATAAAGGTCCATGCATGTTTTAAGAAAGTTTACAAATTTGTATTGGGTCTCATTCAAAGCCATCCTGGGTCACATGCAGCTGGCGGGCCACAGATTGGACAAGCTTGTCTTAGTATCTTTAGGTTTGTCTGACTAAACAGTATTCTGAGACACCATCTTTGTTTTCTGAGATGTTAAGAAAAGGTTTTTACAGTCATATCCTTGGCTTAATGTTTTGACCTTGCTTTCCTAAAAGTGGCCTG